CTTTGACGCAGAACAGCTGCTGCTGGTGTTCATTTAATCATATGGTCACACAGTCCTATGGCTTCCTGCAGCAGACGTGGCCACGCTGAGCAAGAGAAGTGAGTCTGTGTCGAGAGCTTCGCTGCTGCTATCAGGACTCCGACACTCTCTTCCTGTAGCGAGGGGTCTGCCTAGCCCGCAGCATCCTGCTCGACACGCTACACGGGGGAATGTCTTTTAGAAGCATCCTGTTTGGCATTTCGCTTCAAGTTTTTTACACTAAAGTGTCAACGTTGCGCCGACGCCCTTCTGATGCTGATCGGTGGACGGACTCTGGATCAGTCCTCTAGTCTTACTAGAATTATGTCAGAGCTCCGGTTTCTGTTTACGTTCCCTCCTCTTCAGTGTTAACACTGTAATCATCATCATCAGTAGCCTAATTTGCCAGTGATGCTCTCTCCACGTGCTTTATGTCTTGGAACACCTTTTGGTGTTGAATGTGGAGACACAACAACAGCAGACTGGAGTGGTGCGTTAAAATGGCAATAAAATGATCCACCCTCAGCTTCCTGCCTTCTTAGGTTTAATCAAAGGGATTTTTGTGAGGAGATAACAACATATTTTTGTCATATTAACAAAATTGCCATATGTTCAATTGCCTTAAACAGAAACGTTTATGTTTACCTAAAAAGGACGTCTTGTGGTCTTCATCTGGCTGGACTGTTGTCTGGTATTGACAACCTGTTATTGAGAAGGTCAGGATGTGGACAGTTGGATAAACAAAATGAGAGACTTCAAAGCGGCTATAATTGAACTTTGAACTGCTTGGAGCCAACATGGACACCACGCTGCTGGAGGCCGAGGCCGTATTGCTGGGCCCGCTGGAGGCAAGGGAGGCAAAGGAGAACCAGAACCAGGACTGAGAAAGGCAGTGTCAGACCCTGCTGCAGTAAAATGAGAGGTTTTCTAAAAGGAGTCCAGTGGTCTGTAACACTACCACCTTTGTCCACAGGGACCGCCAAAACCAACAGAAAATTAAAGTTCCTTGTAGTAGCTTTAACTTGTGCTTAAACCTACCCAATCCAACTCTCCTTAGACACATTTTGTCATTGAGATTGGAAGACTTGTTGGTTTTCATGTTGATAAAACATCCCATTTGATGGTGATGTGTTTATTCTACAACGGAAGCGGAAATCGAAAATATATTCAATACTTTTTAGCTATCTTTCCCTGTTAGGCACCATCTGTATATTATAATCAGAGAATTGATCACATCATGAAGATACACTAACATGCATGCTGCAAATTCATTAAAATATGACGTGTTTCTCTTTTAATAGTGCATTGTGACTGCCCTTGTTTGAACAATGTCTTGTTGCTTCTGGTTTCTTAAATTGCCACTGCTTTTTCAAGCATTCAGAATGAAACAGACGGAGTGCTATAATGAACATAATGTGCCGTGAAGGTGTAAATAACCCCCCGCGTTTTTGTTATCTGAAAGTAGTAATGTGTTCAGAAACCCGGTATTAAACGGGAGTATTGACAAGCTCTGACGTTACTGATGTTCATATTGGTACTCTTTAATGTTTTGATGTCCTTTATTATCACGCTGCAGCGCGTATCTGCTCTGCTCTCTCTGTCGGGCTGAGCTCCTCCAACTACACGCACACATAGACACAAACACACACACATAGACACAAACACGCACACATAGACACAAACACACACACATAGACACAAACACACACACACATAGACACAAACACACACACATAGACACAAACACGCACGCATAGACACAAACACACACACACACATACACACAAACACACACACATACACACAAACACACACACACACACACAAACACACACACACATAGACACAAACACACACACATAGACACAAACACGCACGCATAGACACAAACACACACACACACATAGACACAAACACGCAC